CCCCAAAATTCCTGAAGCCTGAAATGCGAAAGCATTGGCAGGGATCAAATTTCACCTGAATTCCTAAAATCCTGGCATCTATGGGGAATGCTGGGCTATAGTTGCTCAGATTTTGGGAATTTCGGTGAAATTTGATCCCTGCTGCCGATGTTTTCGCATTTCAGACTTCAGGAATTTTGGGGAAATTTGATCCCTGCCGATGTTTTCGCATCCGAGGGTGCCCACGTCCCATAATCTACTGCTTTCAAAAAGGGGGCTCGGGTGGATCATGGGGGGGGGGGCGTGAGCATATATATATTTATATATATATATAGATTTATACACATAATAATGTATATGTTTTTCTGCATATATATATATATATGTACATACATATCTGTCTATATAGTTGTTTTGTTGTTATCTGAAAAGCAAACAGAAAGACAAATGAACCTGCAATCTCCTTAGTAGCGACTCGTTCCTCTTTGCTGTAGCGTATCCCAAGGGTGTGAAAAAAAAGCCCGAGGCTGTGTCTAGTCTAAGGGACTTGCCGGAGCGGAAAGCAACTTGTCCCGGAAATCTTCGCATCAGTATTTAGCACCCCTAAACCCGAAACCCTAAACCCTGACCTAAACTGTTGGGTGGGGGGTTTCCCTAGCTTGTTCTTGGCTTGCGTTCAGAGGGAATCACGGGATATCCCAACCGTATGGTTTTTGCTTAGGTGACCTAGGGGCTTCCTTGGCTCCCAAAATAGGGTTTAGGGTTTAGGGTTTAGGGTTTAGCATCGTAAACCCCAAAACCTTAGAAACCGGATTGTGGACAAATAGTGCTGGGGTTCCCTATACATTACTCTTAAGGATTGAGGCTATTGGGTTTCCAACTTTTAGGCTTCTACTGTATTTCGGATTGTGTGCCCCACTTGGTGAGCCTTCCAACAATTTCAGGCCCAGGGGTGTTGGGCTTTTGAGTATTTCGACGTATAGGTGTAGGGTTTTTGGGTTTTGGGCGATTGGGTTTAGTAAGGCTTCTGGTCAGCACATATGGATGCACCAGCACATATGGATGCACCTAGACCCTAGAATGCAGAACTGGATAGTTTATTTAAGCTTACGTTTCAGAAAAAGCAGCTGCGGTAACGAAACTCGGTGACACATCGTTGCGCTTGGTCAGGTCTACCCTAATACCACCTCCCTCGGTTTGGGCACAGCCTCGTGCCACCGCTTTCTCTTAGGAATGCCTTCCTGGGTTCTACGAGAAAGGTGAGGGCCCGGTCGGAGGCCGATGCATCCTAGGCTTCTGAATAGCAATGAAACTAGGGTTCCCGTAAGGGTTGCTTTCCCAACCCTAAACCCCTAAAGCCCTAAACCCCAAACCCTCAACCCCAACCCCCCTAAACCCTAAACCCCTAAAACCCTATAAACCCTATGCAAGTTCTAAACCCTTAGCCATAAACCCTTAGCCTAATGAGCTTATGGTTCAGACCTAGCTAACCCGTTTTAGCCCCGGACCAAAGCCCCACAAGCCCGAAAGCTTTGTTTCGGTCTTGAGCCCCAGAAAGCAAAGTTCGACCCCGCGAGAAACTCTCTGCCGCTGTTCACAAAAATCTCGAAGCCGACGGGTTTTCGGGTTTAGGGTTTACGGATATGTGTGGAGGTTGAGCCATGGAACAGCGCTGGACAGCTACGTTGTGTTTGTACTGTTTCTGTGCAGATGTACGTCATGCACGAACCCGATTGTGGTACCGTGGCATACGTTTCAATGTACAATATGTCTTCATGACTTCTTACTATAACAGGTGTAAGGACCATCCTAAACCCTAAACCCTAAACCCTGGTGTAAGGACCATCCTTGTAAGCTTCACCCGAGAGCCGGAAAGGAGCTTCAAACTCACGGAATCTCGCAAGGTTTCACCGTTAACATCAACTTATCTTCAAGTTCCTAACCCCTAAACCCTAAACCATAAACAGCAGGGTTCTAAGTGCGTTTTTGTTCCTTTGCGAGCATCAGCTTCACCCGCGATCGCCCAAAGGTCTCCAGAGTTTGGGATCTTGCTTTCGGGTTGAACCCGAAACCCTGCAACCCTACAGCCCTAAACCCTAAAACCCTAAAGCCCTAAAGGCCCTAAAGCCCCATGCCCTTTTGGCGGCTGAAGGATCAAATCTTTCGCTAAGGCCCCAGTTATAACTAGATACTAGGTTACCAGCCATCTGATTTGTAGCCCATTAGCCTCAAGTTTTACGCACCTAGAACTCGAGCGTCGTTTTGACGTGGTATTTGGGGGTCAGCAGCTCGGACTATTTTGCTTCAAGTTACTGTAAGCTCTAAACAGTAAACCCTAAACCCTGTTTAGGGTTTAGGGTTTCTATCACAAATCTTGGGCCCCATGCCTTGCATTCAATCATGAAACCTCGAAGAGGCGCAGAGCCCCTAGCCGCAAAGCATAGGCCCTGGACTCTTCAACAACGTCAAGAACCCGTATACTTTTTAGGGTTTAGGTTTTAGGGCTCCTGAATCCCTATCTTGGCAAGCTGTGTGTTTGCCCTGAAGAAGGCCCCATGTGCGAGACATGCCCATCTGGAGAGTCTACATTTGGGTATGGCCAGACGCGTCTTTGCTTGATGGTGGAGTGCTTGGTACAGGGTCCTTACTAATTTTGCATTGGTTTCGGGCGGTCTAGCATGATTCTAGTAAGGAACCATAAGGAATGCTGTTGACTATGGATTTGGCATTCGGGGCTTAGTGAAGTTACAGGGCTTAGGGCGTTTAGGGTTTCGGGGTTTAGGATTTTAAGTTGAGGATTGAATTTGGGATTTAGAGGTGGGGTGGGGGGGGGCTGGGGTGTGGCCGGGTGGCCACCTAAAACCGGTCTATTTGCCAGCTGGAACTGTGTTTCCGTATGCCAGGTTTGTATTCTCAGTTATGTATCAAGCCGACACACACACAGAAAGTGGTCACTTGTGCACAGACTGGGTGCTTGTATACTGATCGCCCGACCAAGTTGTCTGCACGTATGTGGCACATTGAGTAGCACGAAAAACCTTCGTTTATGGGTAGACATCGCATTGGTACACTGATGGCAGTTACCCCTCAGTCGGCAAGAAGAGACCTCCTTCCTCTCTTGCAAGGGAAACAGACCCTGACCTTCGCCTTTACCTTTCAAGAAACAGGAAAAGAGCAATCGCTGAAGAATAAAGGGCGGAGCTCCCCGAACCTTCTAAACAAGAAATCTGGCCCTCGCCAAAGAAAAGGTAAGTCCCCCACATAAGGCTCCAAAACAAGAGAATCCCCCGGCAAGTTGTTCGCGGTAACAAAGGCACGGGTAGCATAGGCTTGGCATAGGAACTTCAGAAACTAAAAATAAACAAAGTTTGAGGCGGGGTGAAGAGTGCATCTATATAGGGCCTATGATTGAAGAGTATGAATCTTCGTTTCGACCCTTATATCGCACCCTAATCCCCTAAACCCCAAACCCTTAGTTGCATCTTTCAAACGGAACCCTAAACCACAAACCGTCCGGGCACCTAATCTTTCCCGGGTTTTGCCGGAGCCAGAAGCCCCCAAACCTTTAAATTGAGCTAGCGTGTCTCATTACAAAGCCCTAAACCCAGAACCCTGTAGGTTTTAGGGTTCAGGAAGTTCAGGGCTTAGGGGTTTAAAATCTATAGAACCCTATAAACCTTCAACATTCTAGACTGTAGACTGTAAGCCCCGGAACCAAGGCTCTGCATGTCATGCACATTCGGCTACCGTCCTCTTGCCCGGAGTGAGTCGGAAGCATCCAGGGGACAGGGGGGTCGAGCTCGGGCGTAGGGTCGGGTTTGGGGTTTAGTGTTTAGGGCGTAGGGGCTGCCTACGGATATTGAAATCCCACTGCGCAACTGTTCCTTTGTGGGCGTGTATATGGCCTTATATCGTTGTCGAAAACATATGTTTTTACATAGGTGTTCTGGTTGTGTTATGTAGGCGCTTTATTTTACAATCAGTTAGAATCTTAGAAGTATGGCTAAGTTTGAGGGTTCCTGAGTCCGGGCAGTTGAAGGCGGGCCAGATTTTAGTCTTTTGGTCAATGCTTGCATCCCTAAACCTTCAACCTTTAAACCCAAAACCCGAAACTCGTTAGCCATCACACCACGAGGAACCCGTAGCCCCATCAACAGCACGATGGCGCCCCCCAACCCTGAAGCGTACTGTCTGGAAGTCTTGTGTTGCAATTCGGTAAAGGCGGCTTGCAAGCTTGAGGCCAGAACGTGAAGGTGAAGCCTTCAACCCAAATAGTTCCATCATCAGAACGTGTGTTCATTCAATTCGGGGTATCCTTCTTCAGGCTGACGGATGGAATACGGGTACCACACGCTACCGCCTGAAGAGGTCACTGCGGAAGTTCCTAAACTCAGTGCACTCCTGAAACTTATCAGTCCTAGGTAGTATTAGGGAGACCGCTTAAAGGGGACCCTTCTTATCCCTACTTATAACTTTCTAAAAGGGCTTACGGTTTTTGGTTTCCTTCGAATAAAGAGGACGGAACTTTATTGACAAGGTCCATATCCCTAAACCCTAAACCCTCAACCCTACATCCCCAAGGGTCCCCCAAATCTTACCTCCTAAAGAGACTGGGCCCGGCCACAAAGTCGAAGGACAGTGTGTATGTGGCGTGTCTCATGTTGTTATTGTTTTGTTTTGTTTCTTTTTTTTGCAAATGTACATGTATGTATATATGTATGTATATATATATATACATATATTATATGTGTGTATAAGTATATGTATGTAGTTCTGTATTTATGTATGTATGTATGTATGTATGTATGCATGTATTCATAAATGCATGTGTGTATACATTCGTTATATATATACACATATATATATATATGTACATATATACATGCATACATAGTTTTTCCCTTGCGTGGGGCTCTGTGGATATGTAAGTGCTGAAATTTTTTGGAGGCTTGAAGGGGACACCCCAATTCATAGAGCTAACATGGATGCCTGACAAGTAGCAACACTAGTCCGTTGTGCTCCATGTTACAATCATGCATGTTGCACAGTAGCCCGTATGTTGCCCGCACTACACAACAGCCTTGACCCTCAATCGCAAATCCCGAACCCTGAATTCCTTTGCCAGAGTGGTCCCCGGACTTGTGGTTTGGGGTTCAGGAATCCGGGTTTCAGGAGAGTTTGGGTTTGGGGTTTATAGTAGATGCCAGAAAGTTGGAGCATGATTGTTCCCATGCCCTTAAGGTAAAGCACAAGGGATCCTAGCACTAATCCTCCTAAACCCAAGTTCCAACTTTCTGGCTTCTCCTATAGGCGTCCATCGCCCCAAAACCCTGATTGAAGGCCTCGGCGCTGAATCCCGACCTTTAAGCTCCAAGCCTGCAACCGTGAACCCCCCAACTGTAATGTAGGGGCCTCCATAATTACCTATACTTTTTTGGGGGTTCCTCGTTCTTATAACTATAGTATAATGGGCCCCAAAACCCTAGTCTAATTACTAAGGCCACTATCTTATAGAACCTAGCCCTTATAAACTTATAGAACCCTTTAAGGAACTGTTTGAAGGACCAAACCCCTGTTCTAATTATTAAGGCCCCTACATTAATCTTAAAGAAGCAGAAACCTTTCAGAGCCCCAAGATTCTTGTACAAAGCCGTAAAACAGTCGCTACAAATCAAAAATAGAGTCGTAGAATTGCCGTATCAAGCCTTAAAAAGGAAGGACTATTAGGGTTTAGGGTCTAGGGTTTGAGGGAACTACCAAAAACCATTAGAGTAAAGAATGCCCCCCAACCCTAAACCCTAAACTCTAAACCCTAAACCCTAAACCCTAAACTCTAAACCCTAAACCCTAAACCCTTGAACCAAGGTCCGCATCGGGAACCTCCGAAAGGGCCGCCACAAGGGAGGATGCTGGAAGCCTCCGCGCAGCTCCGAGGACACCCCAAACCCCTCAAGCCCAAGCAGCTAATACAGCGGTTTAGGGTTTGGGGTTTAGGGTTTAGGGTTTAAGGTTTTAGGGGTTTTAGGGGTTTAGGGGTTTAGGGTTTTGGGTTTAGGGTTTGGGGTTTAGGGTTTAGGGTTTAGGGTTCCAAAAAACTGGAAACCGCAGGAAGGACAAACAGTGCTTGGATTCCAGTAACATTGCTCTGAAGGATTGAGGCGAGGAGGTTTCCAACTTTTGGGCTTCTACTATAGTGGGCCATAGTGTTCCTTATGGTTTCCTGCCATAAGCATGGTATGAGTTACGCCCAAACCAAATTCTATTTGATAAGGCCATATTCTCCGCTGCAGGTCCAAGGTTCCTATTAGAACGTAGTACTGGGTCACTACTGGGTCACTACAAGCTTAGGGTCGATGGCAGTAAGCGCACCATTAGCCAGTACCTCATTATTAAACACGTTGGATCCTCAAGAAGCAGGTTAGTAGCTGTTCTTCTTCAGGTGTTGTTGTTGTTGTCGTTGTTGCTGTTGTTGTTGTTGTTGTTGTTGTTGGTCTGGGGTCTAGGCTGTGGCGCTTGGGGTAATTCTAAGGTTGACGTTTACAGGATTTACGGCTTACTGCTTAGGTTGAGGTTTCGAAAAACGGGGCTTAGAGTCTGGTTTAGAGCTTAACCCCGATATCTGAAGCTCTACACCCGCAAGGTATGAAATCCCAAAACCCCATGTTCACACCCAAAACCCCGAAACCGCCAAACCCTACAACCATCTAGGGGCTGAGGGTTTGGATCCTAAGCCCTAAACCCTAAACAGGGGACTTGAATGCGTTTTGGTGAGGCCTGGGTAGGGGTTGATGGGGTGATTCTAAACCCTAAATAAACCCTAACCCTAAACCCCTAAACCCTGAACAGCCGACTTACAACCTAGTATTTCGCATCCCTAATCTCCGTAAACCCGAAACCCAGCATCCCTAAACCCTAACTCAGAATCCCTAAACCCTAAACCCTAAACCCTAAACCCTAAACCGTGTTCTGCCCGACCTTGAAGTTCACGAACCCTAAACCCTGAACCCTAAATGATTCCTCAGAAAGTCTGACTGTTCGGTATGCGTTTAAGGGGATTCTAGCAAACCCTGGCTGTCTTTTAGGAGGTGGTTCGGGCTTATGGGGTTTGGGGTTTGTAGGACTTTGGGTTTAGGGTTGGTGTGACTCGGGGACACTTCGGGTTTGAGGTTTAAGGTTGCCGGTTTTGGTTTTAGGGTTTAGGGTTTAGGGTTTAGGGTTTAGGGTTTAGGGTTTAGGGTTTAGGGTTTAGGGTTTAGGGTTTAGGGTTTAGGGTTTAGGGTTTGGTATGGCAACCGAGAACCACGAGAAAACGTGTCCAAATCGCACAAAGTCTTCTATCAACCTGCGCCCCTGAGCCACCAAGCTCCAGCAGTTTAGGGTTTAGGGTATAGGGTTCAGGGTTTAGGGTTTAGGGTTCAGGGCTTTGGGTTTAGGGTTCAGGGTTTGGGGTTTGGGGTTTCCTAACACAATCAGAAGTCTGCCAGATTCGCGCAAGCCTTCATCGCCTGGTGTCTCCGTCGAGCCTTTCGCGTGGGGCAGCGAGTGCTATCCAGACTGGTCGTGGCCTTATCCCTGTCTTAGGACATTTTCGGGTGGGTAGTTACCGTTATAGGAGCCTTATAGAAGGTCTATATGCCTTATAGAAGCCTTATAGAAGCCCTATATACCCTAAACTCCCCACCTGTAGTTCCCTTTAGTTTTTGTCAGGTTTCATTGGGTTGAAGATTTGAGATTTATGCTGTGAGCGACTGATTCATGGGCTTACAGGTCTCCTGACATGACAATGGTTGCATTAAAGCTCCTCCTCCTCCTGTTGGTGGTCCTTATCTTCATCCGGTTGGGTTTGGATTTATTTTGTTTGATGGGGTGGGTTGCGGTGATGTAATAGGGGCCGGCACAAATAACGATATTTATATGGTAATAATGAGTCCTGACGTAGTTTTTTGCTCTACATACCCGAAAACTCTACCTTAATTGTTACCTTGAGTTATCAAGAACCTACCGTTTTGCAGGGTCCGTATAATCGATCGAATATTAGCTTTTTGCCTTTAAGGACCTACAAAATCTAGGTCATGGTAGTTTAAGGTAGGCTTCTGTTCTATCTCAGGTTGTCAAAGGCCGCGTGCAAGAATCGTAGTCCTCAACCGCAAAGCCTAAGCCCTAAACCGTAAGCTCAGTGGTAGATCCGTGTTCAGGGTTTCAGCCCGTGAGAGTCTGCCGGTGGGTTCGTGTTGACAAATGCGCCAGTTGTTTTATTATGGGGCTGAGGGCATTAAAGAGTTTAATGGCGGTGTTAAACCCGGTTTTACCCTTAGAGTATTCGTGGGTGCTTAATTTCATTCATGTTGGAATGTTCAAGTTTTTCGTGACTCTGCAATTTCAAGTATACCCTTAAACTGTTTTGGCTTAGTACACTGGGTATTTGTTTTTGTGGCGATGCGACACGACTTTCAAAGTGAAGCGAGCCATCGCGGTCGACTCAGGTACGGCATGGGTTTCGTCTGTGTCGGGACCTCGGAACCTGCCAAATTGGTGGTGGAGTGCATGGTTGGTTTAGGGTTTAGGGTTTAGGGTTTAGGGTTTAGGGTTTAGTGTGGTTGGTTTAGGGTTTAGGGTTTAGGATTTTACTTTGAGGACCGGGTTGACCCGATAGGTATGAGTAACTGGGTTCTTGTTAAGGGGTTTAACTTAAGTTACCATAATAGGGATCTCTAGTAAATAATATGGTTTCCTTATTATGGTAACTTAAATTAAATCCCTTAACAAGAACCCAGGTAATGGAGACAGTATTATGACCCCTATGGCAATCTTATTGCGAGAGGGGTTTGTCTGTCAGGGGTCTCAGTTCAGGCGGACGCCTGCTAGTTAGTTGCCTTCACATTCAGCGTTTACCCCGAAATTCAAAGTCCCAAGTAGGATGCGGCCAACGCGAGTTGAGTCGAGCTGCCACACATGACAAAATGCAACTACTGGGAGTAAGCAGTACGTTCGATTCTTAAGAAGTTGTCCTGTAGGGCTTAGGGCTGTTATTGACAAAGGTTCATAACATGTTCAGTTTAGACCTATCAACTTAGCCCCATGATAGTCGCATGTCATGCGGTCTTAGACAGTTGCCCCCGCAGACTCTACGAACCTGGTTTTGTTTAGTCCCTGCACTCTGAAACCACACTGAGTTCTTGTGAATCCGTGAAGCAGGAACCCGCAACAAGGATCCCTTCCTACTTAGAACCCCATATAAGTTGCGATCCCTTAGCAAAGATCCCTGACACCTTAAGTCCACAGTCTTGAACCCTAAACCCTCAACCCCCGATTCATAAAGCCTAAACCCTAAACCCTGTTACTAAAACCTTGAACCCTTTGGAACACCGCCTTCCCAACAGGGACGAAATGTTCACTGAAAAAGCTTCTTGAACCCCGAAGCCCACAACCGAAAGCCCACAACCCGGAAACCCTAAACCCTAAGCCCCACCCGCAAGCCCAAATATTCCCTAACCTAAACCCAAAACCCGAAGCCCAGAACACTTATGTAAGACCTACCCCTGAACCCGAAAAATGCCAACTAGCCCTAAAAACTGAAAAATCCCTGCGAGGTCCTGCAGGTGGCCGTGAGCCTCACTTTTTGGGGCCTCCAACGCCACTGTCGAGGTGTCGGGTTTTGTGGTTGTTTTGATTTCGGGATTTCAGGAAGGAGGTGGGGTTTGGGCTTGAGGGTTTAGGGTTTAGGGTTCTATAGGGGCCTAAATAATTACAGACACTATTATGGGGGTTCCTTGTTACAAGTTAATTATAAGTATAGTAGAATATCCACCAAAACCCTATTCTAATTCTTAAGGCCCCAATCTTATAGAACCCTTATAGTAGCCCTTATAGAGCCCTTTAAGGAATTCTTTAAAGGAACCCCAAACCCCTATTCTAATTATATTAGGCTGTTGAGGCTTCAAGGCCCTAAGCCCTAAAATCCGAAAGCCTTCGATCCGATTCGGGGGTTCAGGGTGCTGAAGGGTTTTAAAGGGTTTAGGGTTTTAGGTCTTTTGGGTTTTAAAGAGTTTTTGGGGGGTTTGAAGGGTGTTGAAGGGTTTTAAAGCGTTTAGGGTTTTAGGTCTTTTGGGTTTTGAAGGGTTTCAGGTTTGTTGCTTCGGGATGAATGGATCTTATCCACTTGTTGCTTTTGTTTTTCAGAATAGTCTTTGCTATATATTTTTCAGGGTCTAGAACTTCCAGAGGAGGTAAGGGTTTGGGCGTGTTTTGTCGAGTGTAAGCTTTGTTTTAGCAAGGTTTCGGATTGCTTTGAGGGTCTATGTTTTGGTTTTCCGGTTAGGATGCAGTGTTAGGCAGGAGGCTTGTTTTTTTCGGTGATTCAAACCTTAATGTACGGTTTATGTTTGATTCTTAGAGGTTTAGGGTTTAACTTTTAAACCTACAGAATACATCCGTTTAGGGCTTAGGGATCAAGACATTCTAGAGTGGTATGCCAAGGGAGGTAATGCCATGACGGTCGTTATGAGTAAGTCTTGAATCGTTCGGGACAACCCGCAGCCACCACTGCTGCCTCATTAATGAGTGCTGCATCCCTCCCCTGATAAAGGGCTTGGTTCTTCGTCTACTTGCAGGAAGCCGGTGTTCTGTCTCGGTGCACAGCTTGGGGAGTGTGTATATATACATATATATATATATACAGAGATATGCATCATTATGAGGATTAAAGCAATGTTGATCATGACGATCATGATGATGATCATCATGATGATGATAGTGTACTTAGACCCTCAGGGGCACGGGATTCGTGTTGAGGAGTTTGGTGCTTGGGGTCTTCGACAACTTCGTCCCTTCCCCTCGTCTTCGTTTTTTAGGAGTTCGGGTTCAGGGTTCAGTGATTCAGGGTTTAGGATTTAGGGCTGAGGGTTTATTGTTTAGTGCTTGGGATTTAGCGTTTAGGGTTTAGGGACCTCTGCCGACCCCTGTGCGAACGCTCCAAAGATCTCGGGCCTGCGTCCCTAAACTCTAGTAAGAACCCTTACTTGGAGGATCACGGGACTTAGTAACTAAGGTTATAAGTCCCTCAATTGGGGTTATAAGTATAGTTACCTTAATTATAACCCTACTTACTAAGTGCCATGATCCTCCAAGTAACCTGAAGTCTCAACCCCGAAACCCTGAGCCCGCAAAAGCTCATGTCCTGAACCCAAGCCAAGAACAATCAACAGTTAGAGTTGGAAAGGCCTCAATCCCTAAATCCCTAAACCCTAAACCCTAAGCCAACGCCAGGTCTTGAGATCAAAGATGTCTCTCTCGATCGTGGGAACTGGGTCTGTGCGACAGCTGGAAGGCTTATGGGTTTACAACCGAGTGCGGCTATACATTTGTAGCAATAGCAGTCATAGTAGTTTTATGTAGTGTAGCATCAGTCTAGAATACCTTCGTACTCATAGCATTTAGTATACCAGCAGACCCCGAACACTCAGACAGAGACGGAAACCCTACACCCCAAACCCATGACAGGGTTTGTTAATTGGTGGCTTGCCGCGATTTGGAGCTCCTGCTCCCCAGGACATGAAGCCTGAGGGTCTAAATCAAGTAGTTCTTGTAGGGCTTTGGGTTTAGGGTTCTGTAGTTGTTGTAGAAGTCTTGAGAAATTCAACAACCTCTTTAGCAGTTTTGGAGTTAGGGCTTTCAGGGTTTAGGGTATCCTCATCCTTATTCTAAGTTTTCCGGCTGTTTGGGTTAAAGTACTGGAGAACCTGTAGTTCGCAACCCTAAACCCTAAACCCTAAAAAGGGATCGGCAACACAACTAAGATATCCGAAAAAGGTAAGTAAGATACCGACTTGGGGTAGGAGTCCGAACAAGAGCCCTAACACCATGCTTCAGAACACATCCAGGCCCTGAGCCTTTGAACCTACCCCAGTAAAACGCTGTTGCCTTCCAGCAACATGACTATGCGTCTATGAACATCATCAGCACTGATCAGCACCACCACTTGCACCAACAACATCCGCATCATATAACAATACCATCACCTCATCTTACAATCACTTCATCATATTTAAGTAGATTGGCACCAGCACAGCAAAGTATAAGACTTACGCACCGCTCTTAGGAAGGGTTCGCAACGTGTATCCAAGAAGCATCCTGAACCGTCCAAAATGCAACCCGAAATCACGCACAAGCAGGAAGAGTGATAGGGTGGGGTGGAGAAGGGAAAGGAGTTGACAGCCGGGAAGAGTGGCCCGGAGAATATCCAACTAGCACCGTGAACGGTTCAAACCAAAATCAGACACTTTGGGGCGGTGATATTGGAACGAGGGGCGGGAGAACGGGATGGGGGGAAGACCGGGGAAGCGGAGCTTTGAAGATACACTCGTGAAAACGCCTCCAAAACCCTTCTACACACCATTGCTCCCAATCCAAAAACCCTTCAATATGTCCGTTAAACCCTATACAACCCTTCCAAGTGCGTCATTGGACCCGTGTCGACCCTTAATTACAACATTTTCCATCAAAGCCCTTGCGAAACAGCTTACGTCAAGGCCCTGCAAAATGCAAAAGGAACCCTTCTCAACACCCATCACAAACCCTCCTGTAACCTTGATAAAAACACTTCAGAATACCATCACCATCCTTCTTACATCCTTTTAGTTTTTAATACCACTACAAGAACCCTCGCACGACACTCGAGGCCCTTCTGGAGCCTTCGAAAACCTGTGTTAACCCTTTCAAGATCCAATTAATTACAAAATCTTTTTTCCACACCATTGCGACCGTCGCTCTCAATATCCAAAACATCGCCTAAACACTTCCAAAGCCTTCCAACTACCAATCAAACACCGCCAATCGTACCTGCTGTGACCTGCTGTTCACAGCCCTGCTTTTGCGAAAGATCATAAAACAAAAACAGGGCCTTAAGTTTAAGCTGCCGGTACGCCCCGTCTACAACCCTTGTAAATGCTACAAAAGCCTGTAAGAACTTATTACAAACCCTTCAAAATAACCCTTGGAACCTTCTGAATCCCTTCTAAAACGTTTCAGAACACCATGAGAACCGTTCCAAAACACGTCTAAAACCAACAAAATACCGTGGACAAATGGGAGCAGCCCTAAATCCCGTTAAGAATACCATTACACTTCAAGCTACCACGCAAAAAAGTAAGCCTTACTGGGGAGGCAAGACCCCATTGCCGGGAAGAGCTGCGTAGAGCGAGTCCATCTAGGACCTAGGACCGTGAACGGTCCAAAATCCAACCCAAAACAAAACTGGAGCGGGGAAGGGGGTCGGAGAAAGACTTAAACACCGCGAAAAGGAGGGTCCATTAAAAGATCCATTACTCGGTTTCCCAGTGGGCCCTTCTTCACTTGTTGAAGACAAGGTACCGAATACCAAAAAGGAGCCCCTTTTAATCCCAGGTTACTGGGCATCCTAGACTAAACAGCCTCCAAAGCCCCTTCTAAGTACAATTACGCCCTTTCCAAGAAAAGCCTTCAACATGCCGTAACATGCCAATACAACGCTTCTAAAACAATTCCAACTGTCAGTAAATAAACAAAACGCGACACTATGAGAGAGCACTTTTGCGTCTTTTACGTGCTCCCAAACACAAAACACAGTCAGAAAACACAAATAACCACATCGACGGATAGTACAACCCATGCAGACGCCGAAAAGAGAAATGCAAGAATTACGAAAAATACAGAAATACAAAAGAACTAAAAAATTAAAGAATAAAAAACAAAAACATCAAAATACAAAAAAACAAAAAAACAAATAAATAAAAGTAAAATAAAATACCAAAAAACAAAAAATCAACACAAAAAAAATGTTTCGAGACTTTGGCTTGGCCTCATCCATATATATTTCTGAGAGTTCCTAAATATTGTTTTTTGTTTGTTGTTTTGTTTGTTTTTTTGTGTTTTTTTGGTTCTCCTGCCCTGTCCCTGGTCGTGTTGTCGGCGTTCCGCGCCTGGCTACCTGCGAAGGGAATCTGCGTGAGGTCGTCCCTTCGTGCCAATCAAGAGGACTTCAAAATTGCATGTTTCCGTGTTGTCGTCTACTTTCTTACATGCTGCAATATCGGCAGCACTATTCTATTGGTATAAACCCTTAGCCTTAGCTGTTCCTATTGCATGTAGATCTATAAAAATGCAAAAATACAAAAAGCGGTGTAAGCGTATGAGTGTGTGCGTATACATATGTATACCTGGACCCTGAAGAACCTGCCTTTTTAAGGACTTATACAAAGAAATCATAATAAGGAGCCCTAAAAAGGCAGGTTCTTTGGGGTCCAGGTATATATACACATACATACTTATTTTCCTAGTTTTGTTTATTTTATATACTTAGACACATACATACGTACATGCATGCACACATACATACATACATACATACATACATACATGCCTACATACATACATACATACATACATACATCAATACATACTTACTTACATACATACATACATACATACATACAATGTATATATATATATATACCCCTGCTTTCATAACACAGGTGTATATATTCGTGGCATATATTCACCAATTGCAAGATTACTGCCATATCAAGTAGACCAACATAAGAAAAGTGCATATGTGTGTCTGAACATAGGTCGTCCCTTCGTGCCAATCAAGAGGACTTCAAAATTGCATGTTTCCGTGTTGTCGTCTACTTTATTACATGCTGCAATATCGGCAACACTATTCTATTGGTATAAACCCTTAGCCTTAGCTGTTCCTATTGCATGTAGGTCTATAAAAATGCAAAAATACAAAAAGCGGTGTAAGCGTATGAGTGTGTGCGTATACATATGTATACCTGGACCCTGAAAAACCTGCCTTTTTAAGGACTTATGCAAAGAAATCATAATAAGGAGCCCTAAAAAGGCAGGTTCTTTGGGGTCCAGGTATATATACACATACGCATTTATTTTCTTAGTGTTGTTTATTCTTTGTACTCTTAGACACATACATACGTACATGCATGCATACATACATACATACATACAGTGTATATATATATGTATATATCTGTATATACCCCTGTTTTCATAATACAGGCGTATATATTCGTGGCATATATTCATCAATTGCAAGATTACTGCCATATTAAGTAGACCAACATAAGAAAACATGTGCAGATGTGTGTCTGAGTATATATGTGTGTGTTCCATACTCCCCTCATGTAATCAAATATATAAAATTAAGCGTAGGTAATACTAGCTGCACGCCTCATCAAACCTTTGCATAGAAGGTTATGTCTTCATGCTAAATTCGGGTGCATCGAAGGCTTTG